TATAGAAGGCTCGTCTAGCTTTTGCCAACTTGCGCCATTTATGGCGTAGGCGAGATATCCGTCTAGTAACAAAAGGACGGGTTTACTGTGCAGCAGCTCGCTCCGTCCTACTTTATGGCAGTGAAACATGGCCGATAAGAGTAGAGGATATTCGTAGGCTACTAATATTCGATCATAGGTGTCTTCGACGCATTGCTCGTATATCCTGGGACCACCGGGTAAGTAATGCAGATGTTAGGAAACGGGTACTAGGTAAGGATGGCAAATCGATTAATGAAGTAGTGAAACTTCATCAGTTGAGATGGCTGGGACATGTGTTACGTATGCCCAACCACCGACTGCCCCGACGTGCAATGCTTTATGGTGTTCATCCAAAAGGTCTTGAATTGGCCGAACAACATTTCCAAAATGTAAGTGCTCATTTTTTCACTTATTCTTTGATAACAGTTCGTTCCGTCCTAGTTTATGGCTGTGAAACACGGTCGGTAAGAGTAGATGATATTTGTAAGCTATTAGTATTCGAAGCATTGCTCATACATCCTGGGACCACCGAGTAAGTAATCCAATTGTTAGGAAACGGATATTAGGTAAGGATGGCAAATCAATTGATAAAATTGTGAACCTCCATCAGTTGAGGTGGCTGGGACACGTATTACGTATGCCCAACCACCGACTGCCCCGACGAGTGATGTTTTATGGTGTAGGAGTAGGTTGGAAGAAAGCTAGGGGTGGCCAGAACAAAACATGGCATAAATCGATGAAGTCACTGACAAGTGGACTGGGCCGTGTTGGTAGGTGTAGACTACCTGGTTGGGATTCGCGAGATGATAGCAATCGATGGTTAGAGACCTTGAATGACATGGCTCAAAATCGTTTGCAATGGCGAAGGTGCATCCACTCTTTGTGTTCTCACAAATTCTAATCTTCTGAATTCTTCATGTCCTTTTTCTCTTTCGAAATTTATTTCACTGTATTATACTCCAATAACAACTTTAAACCCTTATCTTTCACATAATACTTATACTCTTACTGCTCCTACCAATATGGGATTTGAATCGACAACTTCATCTCTGTGCTAATGTGGTATGGCAACTGGAACTGATGTACGTACGTACAAAGTTCTACGTTGTAGCTGACTGACTGACTGAGAATCACGATCAATGGGCTCGTAAACCATTTTGGCGAGAGATCGCCTACAGTCAGGTGCTTATTTACAGATTGGTTTGGAACAGCATGTATTAGCCTAGAAACTTCATGCTATTAGGACTGATTGTAAATTTTGTTGCTTTAAACGTTGTTGTGTCAGATTATCTACCAAACGAATAAATAAGAGGTCACAAGTAATTTTCATTGTGATTTGCTTTTACCTTTCATGTGCTTGTCACCCATGTTTGAGTGAGTGTGATTTTAGGATATGGTGCCAGTCAGTATATTTTTTATGAGCCAGCTTCTTATTGCTCAAAGGTTTGCGGGGATTTTGATTGGAAACATATGTAAAAGTAGCCTCTGAGTTTACTTCTAAATATTTCCGAAGTTTAGAAAACTTTGTACTAGGCACATCATTTCGATAAGGAGGCCTTGACACTTTTAATCCCATTCATGGTAGTCAACATTTTCGTACCACCGATGATGATTGCTTGCTGAACTATCTTGTATGTGTATGTTTGATTTTATGACAAGAGGTGAGTTTGACAGTTTGAGCACAATTTTTTTAAGGGATCGAGGTTTGAACTCTAGAATTTTGGGATTTATTGTTAATTTTGTACGTAAAAGATATCTTTGTCAACTGGTCGGCCTCACATGTTTTCGTGTTCGATTCAGTATTAACCGTTAGTTCGGCAATATGTTGTAGAGCATCAACGTTGATGTTCTATGTCGAAATGATTGGGGGCCTACTAGAGTTAGATGAGAATGGTGACGAACCAACTAACGCTGAAGTCACACCCCGCGACCAACACCTTACGTGGATTGCCCCCATCGACGTAACAAGGGGCCATGGATGCTATGGAGACTGTACAACACAAAGGACGTTACTACAAGAATACATTAGTTAAGGTACAACCACGAAACTACAGAAGCGAAAGTACAACCACTGCCGCGTGGGCCAGTTCATGGCGTATGATTGATTGACTATCCTTGACCTTGACAGGGATCGATGATCTGTTCGATATTCAGTGACATTTCACCGACCCTACAATGTGCATATGCACCAGTCAACGTCTAATTGGCTTTATCCCATCTTGCCGTATCCCAATGATTGTGGAATACCGAACTGATATGGTAGATGAACGATATATAGTGATCCAAACTGAGGACTTGGTCGGGATGTACCGGTGCATAAAAGTGATTAGTCATACGTAAATGAGTAAGCTGACAGAAACACATGTTAGATAAATACATCTCACTGAAAATAATAGAAAACAGTATGTCGAAAGCCCTACATGAAAGTTATTTTTGGGAATGGATTTCACTCAATGGATCTATGCTCTTCTCTGCATGCGGCTCCAAGTGGGTGAAGGTAAATAAAGATAATGCTTGAGGTGAGGAAAGCGACTAATCCAACGAGGTGAGCAGTGATCTAAAATGTATGCAACGCTGTCATACTTCACGGTTAATCCCCTTGGCTGATAAAAAACAAAAAACGACGTAAGTAGAAGTATGCAAAAGTAGCGAAATGCAGCGACTGTACAAAGTAAATTGACAGACGGTGCGTATTCACAATTGATGCGTACAAACATACATGAAATGCAGATATAAATGTTTTAGAAACGTCACTAAATCTAAGGTGTATGTGATATGTAGTTGAAATCCTAAAAATGTTGCTGCAATAAAACATATTTTTTCTTACTTTCGTCCAACAGTTATAACTTGATTACTGGTCCGACCAACAAATCTAGTGTTTAGAGTTCGAAAACAACAAATTCGTTCGGTTCTCACTGTAGTTTTATCAAAGGTAAGATAGAAATGAACTATAGATAGAAAATTTTGGATTAATTCTTTTGTCGTACGTATACCTTAATATGGGCGACAGCAGTTAGTTGGACGCTGATATGACAAAAACTCAATACTTATCTCATAGGAGAACTCATTCTAACCATAATTCCAGCCACTTCATCTAGATGAGCGTGACATTCATCGTTTTGCAGTAACATGTATTTGACCTTCATTAAGTACTTTTGCGTATCTAAAACTATACTGTCGTAACATGTTACCTGTTCATTGACACAAGGCTCGTACAGGTAAACTGGACGGAGAAGCTCACGCATTTCAAATGGAAAGCATAAACTGCCAATATCTGAACGACATGAGTTTACCAAATAAAGTGGATAGGCTGTATGAACTCAGTAGTGCTGATAATACTTATCTGATAGGAAGATCTAAAACATGAATATCTTCTCAGTTTACGAACCGGGAGCTAGCGATAAGCTGGATGTCTTTGTTTCGTTATGACAGAAAAACAGGAATGGTGGTTGGAGAGCCTTATACTTGTAATCTTGCTTGGAAGTACACCAACTGCACAACCAAGAGTTTATCAGTATTGACGAACCCGTATGGTGCTCGATAAGACTGTCTAACACATCGAGATGTCTAGTTGGAGTCATTTACAGGAACCTCATTGTTGTCATCGAGTATGATAATCGTATGCTAAAATTATTATTTCGTCCTACTCGTCTCGGATTCACACACACCCTGATTCTAGGATAATTCAATCTTCCTAAAGTCAATTTCGCGGAACATACGTTTATTGGAGGTGAAAACTCTAATGGCCGGACCAACCAAGACGATGATGCCTGTAACCTTATGGCAGAATAGTACCCCCGGACATTTCAACCGATTCGCAGTAGCTATATTGGCGAAAGCTTCATCTGCAACTCCATAGGACTTTCGGAAACGAAGCTGATTATTGACTTGGCGTATCGGGAACTGCCGTACCTAAAAAGACACTTCTGGCCCGGATATGGTCCATTCTGCTATACTGAGGGAAGCAGCTTCAGCCTTGACAACACCACACAGCGTGATGTTTCCACACTCGCCAAGCCAAGACACAATACCGGAAATTTGGAAGCTGGCTTACATCACAGCAATTTTCAAGGGATGTCGACGCAGCAAACCTCCAAGCTACCACTCGGCAGTACCTCTCTCTATACCCCAACAATTATGGAGTCCTTGATATGCGACTGTATAAACGACTATTTATTATCCATAAACTTCTCTTTACCCCAGAGGCACTGTTTCAGAAATGGTGACTCATGTATAACCAACCGGCTGACTGCGGTGGACAAATGGACAACCATCCTTGGTCGCGATGGGAAAGTTGAGTTCATATACCTCGACTTCTCAAAAGCTTTTGATAGGGTCAGCCATATGTCTTATCAATAAGCTCAAACGATTAGGTATCGAATCATTTTTAATCGGTTAGTTCTCTTCATACCTAGTGGTTTATAGCATCCTAAATACTTCTAGACATCCTCTTAATACTACTTAAGCTTAGTTCCAACACAAACCTTGGGGGTTACACCCGGAAACTGGGGACACAACACAGCAGAACGGAGTGTAGATACACCTTCTACTCAAAAGTAGTCAAATGCTGGAACTCGCTGCCAGACGAGCTAGTCCAAGCGACTTCCCAGGAGTCCTCTAGGAGAAAACTTGTTACACATGTAAAGTATACGATTCGGCCTGTATTTGTGTAAAAATTAGAAGGTTTGGCGCATTTCCCCACAACACCCCCTTATTTTCCAATGTATTTTTTCATTTCTTTCCACTTCGTTCGCCTTTATTTCTCTTTTATTGGTAGCTTGGGTATTATTAAGGACTAAAGTCAGTATCTCAAAATGATTTACCAACAGTTTTTTCTTTTTCCCCTCTTATCGATAATATACCTAGGTTCCTGCATGGAGGTATATGTGATCCACTGCTACTAGGCGCGGAAGTTCATTAAGCCAAAAGCTTCTTCTATTACGTCTAGAACCGTTTGAACATTTAAATTTCTGCGCTACCAATTCCTAGTTTCAGCCGTATTAGTGTATTGGTCTCGTTCCTGTATTACTGCTAGTTACTTCAGATCTTCATCACTTGGTTTAAGTGTATTCTGTACGCCTAATCATTCATCGCCCCACTTTTCCTCGTACATTCTTTTTCAGATTCGTTCACGCACTCTGCTTTTCACATTCTCCAGCAAACTGTGCCGCTTCAGACTAGACGCAAAATCACCAGACGTTAAATGTCATAATGCCAATAAATCTGCCTCATATCTTGCGTCAAGTTGAAGAAGCATGTAAAGCAGTAGGCTTGTCCTTTGTCTGTGTACATGCGAATGCAGTCCCCATGTAACCAAAAATTTTGTCGTTTGGTCGCAGTTTCGAAAGAAAAGCCTATTCAGTCTATTATAAAAGCTTATAATTTTGGACAAAGACATTTTGGAGAGAATAAGGTAGTCAGAGGGATACCTTGCAAATAATTACACTAGATTATTCATTTGTATGACAAGAGTTACGCACCGGAGGTATATTTGTGCACCTATAAACTAAGCTGTATATTCAGTTGATTAATTCTTGTCCAGACATTAAATGGCACTTCATTGGCCGAATTCAATCCAATAAAATAAGAAAGCTCGCCGGTAGTTATTCACCTCTATAATTACGTTTTAAGGAGTTAACAATCTGTACATGGTAGAAACTGTGGACTCAATGGATCATGCTGATATTCTTAATTCAACGTGGGGGTTAAATCATCAGATCCCTCTAAACATAATGATCCAGGTGAATACAAGTGGAGAGCCTCGTAATTCTGCTTTATTGCACAACTCAATTTTTAGAGAAGAATGGCATCAAACCCACTGAAGTTATTAATCTGTACAATCAGATCGAGGTAAAATGCCCCAACTTAAAAGTCGTTGGTCTTATGTGCATTGGACAAGAAGGAGTAGATATCAATTCAGGTCCAAATCCTGACTTTGTGGTTAGTATTTTAGTTTACTTGTATTTCAGAAACTTGTACAATGCAGAGAGTTACTAGCCTCTTCTTTAGGGAAGTCGCCGTTGGATTTTGAACTAAGTATGGGGATGTCTCATGATTTTGAGCAGGCTGTAAGTATTCAGTATTATTAACTGTAAATATAGATACGACTTGGAAGCACTAACGTTCGCATAGGAACGGCCATATTTGGGCAGCGAGACTCGGAATACGTACTCAAACAGGATACCTCTACAGACAAGCAAACTCCCACTTGATATTCTATTGGTGTTGTTAAAACTATCGTTGTTTGGCTCTCATCACTTCATGTATAGAAGCCAGTCATTTTATGTTGTTAAACTCGTTTTGTTCCACAAACATCTTTTAAATTATTTTGCTTGGTTAATAAAGGAGTAATACAAATTTAACGGTATTCTACCTGTGTCTATAGTTGGAGCTCTGTTGTCTTTGTTAAGACTAAGTACATGCTCAGCTTTTTAAAGGAAAGTAATGTCATCATCATGCGTTACACATTAAGGTTCATAACTACAACCAGTTTGATTGTACTGTCACTTTTCAGTAAGGGATGCACCTAATATCGCTTAGTTAATCTGTTTCCGTACTGGGGTAGTTGTTTATATGTTGCTAAGACATTTCTTCCTCTTCTTTCCACCTTCGAAATACATAATTATGTTCCCTCCCAGAATTTTCCGTACAGAGAAATCGCCACATGCTCTGTAGTCGTTTCTAATACGAATATAACTAAAAACGGTTCTGACTGTCTAAAAACCAGTCAACAATAGTTAGTGATACAAAGTCTTCCTAATCGTTTTCATTCATCGGTATGAGTTATTGTGTTTAGTCTAGACGCACATCTGGTAACATTTACACGGAAATGTGTTCGTATAATAATATACAAGGAGGCAAAGGAAATCCTAATAAAACCTTACTGGATAAGTAAACAAGAGCCAAAAAAGTCGACATAATATGTTGGTACTCAGCCTCAGTTTCCGAAATTCTTGATTTTGTGATACAAGTAGTCCCATCATATGGATCCGTATTTTTGCTTTTGAAAAACTACCATTATTTATTCTGCAGTTGGAACTCAGCCTACTAAATAAATCTGGAGATTTGTTTATATCCCATTGTTATCCAGTTAGCAATTACCAATCTCATAATAGCCTCTAGTGGGTATTTGAATTGTTTTCGTACATAGTTGTGATGTACATTGTAATTTTCAATGTTTACGGGATACTTTGTTTAATAATATACGTTTATAAACGGTTTGCACAAAATTTTGGACTTGCATTTAATGCTTATCAACACTCGTTTATATAATGTGTTTGTAACTATAAGGGGGCTTTTTGTGCTCTTAAGATGTCAATCCTTTAAATTCAATGTGTAGTTGTAAATGTAGTAATGTAAGTAATTAGCTTCGGCTTATACGCATTTTCAGTTAAAGAATAACAATATGGCCTATAATCTCACGATACCATTTGTTATAACATCCGGTTATTTGGATGCTTTCGTTAGTTTTCATAGACTCAATTTACAAACGGAAAAGATTAATCATTTCTTAATTTAAACGTTTAGTCAAAGGATACTTAAAAAAGTCATAAAATAATTAATTTATTATGCACCTTCATGAGCTGATCTATATTTTTTATAAGAAGCTCTGTGGATTGTGAAACTTATCGACTACTTATAATAATAACTTGTATGAAATTTAACATTACATTAGGCCGTTAAAGGGAATCAGCTGAAAGCTCTTGATCTAGGTTTCATACTCTAGTACCTGCTAAAAAAATGTATCTGTAATCAAAAAGCAACTCATGTTTCATATCGTATTCAAACCTTCCGTGGATGATTTTTGTGCCAAAAATAACTTCCTGCAGAACTAATATACTTACATTAATTGACCACATCGAAATAATCAAAAAACACATCATAACTTTAAGCTACTATGCCTTGTGGCTACAATGCGACTTCACCAATGAATTTTCATCAGCACTGGGGACTAGGGAGTGTAACACTGATTTTTACTTAATATATCATAGTTGGAAATATCAAGAATAGAATATAAATCTAAATCCTGTCATTACTAGATTATTAATCTGAAGAGAATTACATATTTATTTCACTGAATAAGATTTAATACCTAAAATTTCTGTACAGCAATTTTACTTTATTTTCAAAACAAGTGAACAATGACATCCAAGAAATACTATATAAACTATGACCATTACTAATTAAATCCATGTATTATGATTATCTAAATTAGTAGTGTCCATATATCTACTAGATGAAACATATTTACCAAAAACATGTACACATCAAAGGAGTCGACACAATTCCATTTGTTCATATTTCTTTGCTGTCTTTCTTTGTTCAACTTTATCTAACTCAATAATAATCTCTCCTTTTGAAAATCAGCTTTTGTTTGTTTCCATATTATATGCTTAAATAATGTCCTATAAGTGGGACTCTATACCTTTTACTCCATCCCCCCTATTCATGTACCTTCATTTCTCGGATATGCATGTATGTCATTAAAGTTTGTCCACTTCTACTCAACCAGTTTGTTTTATTTTATCTGCGTTCTTAATTTACATATGTAGATACTAATTTTATGTAATTCGGTTCATAATAATGTCTATTAAGAAGAAAAATTGAGATAATAGCAGTTTTTTGAAATATAAGAAACCAAATACTTTTATGAATATTATCGTTATATCATCAGGCATGGCTTATCGTGTGATTTTTTTCTTCATATTGTCAACTGGATGACGCAATCGAACGTTGATCCGAAACAACTGATTATTATTGCTGGTCTAAACGCTATTAAATCATTAATTTCTAAGGAAATTCTTTATATGACTGCTATAATAGTAATACATGTATTTTGAAACATGTTTCTTAAGTAACTAAAGTTGTAAATGATTTTGTCTTTTTTTAAACATATTATTAAATTTTACGAGTAAACGGTTGGTTGATTCCAATCCATATGTTTCGTTGCTGTGTTGTCTCTAAAGTGATCATATTTCTCATTCACATAATCTAAAGCATATTTTCATGTTAGAATAATGGTGCCAATTGATGGAAAGCTATAAACTTAGTTTTGTGCATATGTATTCATAATCACCAGTCAGCTCTTCCGTCCGAATATCTCAGCAGTAGTATATATTTGAATTTGTTGATGAAAACTGTTGACACATCATACCAATAAGTGTTAACCAGAACAATATGTTTATCTATAGCTTCTAGTCTGTTGTTTTCAGCTACCTAATATCAAATAATTGGCACTTATTTTCATTTGCATATCTTAGTAATAATGTTTCAACCTTGATTGACGGCATTATATATAATTTAGCAATTACACAAGACAGGTTATAAATAATAAGTTAAAGAACGGTTTATTTCAAACTTCACTGTTATTGAAATGATCAATTTACATTCAAATTTTATTTCGGTTCAACGTGAACATGATTGTTTAAAGTTTCGTAGACATAACTTCGAGATTTTTTTAAGCAGAAAATGTTCCCTTTAGTAGTTATAAATACTGATTTCGCCTTGGTAGGCTTTCAATTTTAATCTTACTTTCTTTAGTTTTATCATAAGATGTATTCAATCTATTCAGTTTAAATTTAATATAAGTTATGTATTAAATCTAATCATAAAGAGTGTCCGATGTGTTTTTCTTTAATCCAAACTACATTGATTAATATTATGTTATATTTTCACCCATAGAAATAAGTTTTCACTAAACATATGATACTTCTGGTGTCTTTTTAATTAATTTTTCAAGATATAAGACTACTTTAAAAGTATTGCGTTCTTCAATTGTTAATAAATAACGTCAAAAATAAACCAATATTCATTATCTTGTTTGTATTGATTTTTAGTGGACATATTACTGATATAATTATGTTATCGCTGAAAACGTAGCCACTAATGAACTTGTTCTATCATTTGTGACAAATGATCAGATTAAGGTGGTCTGAAAGTTCCTCTGTAAGCTGGATTTGTTCCGATTTTATGGTTAAAAAGTTTTACATCAAAATCAATAAAATGGTTATGACATATTTACATTTCTTTTGTGTCTGTAAAAGACAAATGGTATGTTGTAGCTAATCTTTGTTCTTATTACCGAATCAAGTATCATATGATAAACAAACATACACTATAACTAGCCACTAGCATTGATTTAAGGCCTGATAAATGATTGTTTCATAGGAAATTAGGTCCCGGGACCTGTATATTAAATATGATTGATAATCACCTTTTAAGAACACTTATCCACAAATATTTGAAATAGGTTTCAGAATAGTTGTTAGGAAAACTCGGAAGTCACATATGTTATTTGAAGAGAAATAAATGACAAAGTACCCACCTCCCAAATCATATACTTTATTATTTAAAATAAAAATATTATAAATCATCATTATCAAGAAAGGTTACTTAGATCTTCAATCTCACTCCCCACTCAATTTGGTATAAACAATGATGAATTCATCAGTAAAGTTTGATTTAGTTGGTTTCAAAATATTTTGTCATAACTTAGTCAGTTCACTAATTAAGGTAGTAATCGCCGAAACATTTTCATCATATTAAAACACATGGACGAAAAATATTCTTTTCAATAAATTCTCCGGATCCTACAATTATATATCTGAATTAATAATCCAAAAAGTGACCAGGTTTGAAGCAAAATACATTCTCTAAAATTATAGCATGTGAGTTTAGCATTGTAAAATAAGATCGTTAATGTTGGGGTGACTATTATGAAGTGTTGACTTGTATACGTTTACATGCTAAATGGAATTGTGAGATTAATGATCAGAATATAGTTAACATGTACGATGTCTTAACAACGAAGAATTCTATACTCTATTTGAAACTCCTTTTCACTTAAACAAACAGATATAAGGATTACGTCATAGGAAGTAAGCGAAATATGGGATTTTGTATTGTTCGAACGTATGATCCGTCGGATTAACTGAGTTAGCAGTAAGGCAGATATCCATTATTGATCCTTTTGTATTTAACTACTTAAAACGATTAAAGTAGCTTGCACTGTTTAATGAAATAAGTCTGGTGACTAACAACTAACAGGAAAAGGTATACATATATGATTTTAATTTAGATCTGGAGAAAACTAATTGAGTTGCACAGGCGAAAATTATTATCAAGACATGTATTTCACAAACGAGGTCAGAGATTTGCAAAACTATGATATTTAAGGGTATTCGAATTATACTATAAACTAGAAATCCTAGAAACAACTCAATTTAATCATGAAGTATTAGATGGACACGAATGAATGTATTGTATTTGGAATTCAAAATTAAGCAATCATCAATACAAATGAATCATTGGTTCATATAAAAACCACAGAAACACATTGTCAAACCTCAGAATTTACCTTTTGTGGTTGCGAAAATCAAAATACATGAAACGTAAAAGATTTCTTCTCAGCTACTCTCAAACACAAACGGTCGAGTAATGTCCATTTTAATGTAATCTCATTAAAATTACTGACCGTCATGCTGTATTTGATCACAGAGTCACTATTTATACAATGAAACAAAACATAATTAATCAACATCCATTAACTAATTTGTTAAGGCATAATTCCTTTGTGAATATTGGTGTAATTATCCATCTTAAATTTGAGTTGTAAGAGTTCCTATTGTTTACTAAAAGAATTACAAATTTTGTAGTAAATTCT